GGATATATCCGGTCTGTGCCTATTACAAGCTCCAAACAAGGTAGGTCATTTTAGATATCTGCAGACAGTAGTTGGATATGTAATGGAAAAGTATCAGAGTATCCATCATCAATCTCTATATTTGTCTGTCCCACACCAAGCACTAAGACCATATACACCTAAGAGAACAATGATTCAATCAGTCACTACAATAAGTTTGCTTGCGTGTATGCATACTGTACTGTATGCATGTCAGAGGCACAATCTGGCAGATAAACACACAAATCTCCATGTCTAAACGCTTCTGATGATGCAAATGAAAATCCACTTGGCTTTGGTGAAAGCAAGTTCGCTGTGAGTGAGCAAGTGAGTGAATAATTATAGGAGGCGGCCTTCTCTGGAGTCTGTTTATAACTGTAGGTAGGGAGAGTGTCAGTGGCAGAGCATGTTATGCTCACTTCATAAATACAGTGCTGAAGTGAGCTAACAGCAGGGAAAATCCGTAAGTGACTCCCATGCTTTCACAAGCATATAAAGCCAAACCCAAACAATCCACATCCAAATCAATCAACACAAATAAAAATCCATGTATACACACGCATACAAGAAAATACAAACCTGGTGGTAGAAAAATAAAAGTGATGTCAGAGTCAGACATTGTGCTGATACCTCATGGGTGACACACTGCAAAGAGGAGGAAATATTAGTTCCTTAATAAAACATAATTTTGTCTGGAGGCTGAGCCTTGAGGCCCTGTGAAAACAGATGTTGTCTTGTCATGTTAGCAGTACCACACAAGAGGCCGGGATCTATTTCATTCTGTTTTCATAATGAGAGGATTTCACCTTCTCTGTCTGCCATCTCTCCCTTCAGCTCGTGTTGAAATGGAGCCACATTCCACACACACTGTCTCCTTAATTTACCAGCCTGATATGAGGCCTGTTCTTGAAATGACAATATTAATTAAAGGCTTTAATTAAAATTATGCAAACAACGGCTCATATTCACATGTTCTCTGCAAAGCTAACCATGTTAAACCAAATGAAGACAAAGGGTGGCCCTGAAGGTAGACAGAAGTTGTTAGCTCTATGTACTTTAATGACATAACACCTCTTAACCTGTTCGCTCAACATAGGAAACCCTGCGCAACATGAGACACATTCCACCACATAATAGCGTGTGTCTTAGACTCAGTCAGCCCTCAACCATTGTTAAAGCGTGACCAGGCCACCAGAGTAGGCGAGCAATAATGCAAACGTCCAAACAAACATGACTGACAAACAGGATTTTCCTGTACAGTGTGTGGTGGCTCATAAAGGGAAATATAAATCTATTATGAAAGGATCTTTTTTTTTTCAACGTAACGTGTACTGTACTGTATGTGTTATCTTTTACTCACCTAAATTAATTTATAAAAAAGAGAAAAGCCTGTTTTCAATACTCTAGTTTCTTATAATTAGACTTGGCTGACAAAAAAAGCAAGTGAGATGTCCGCAGTGGCAGTGATGCTGATTTTTCATTGGTGTACTGCATTTTTAAAAAGCATCATTTTCAGGCCGAGAACCTCAGACTAAACAGATCACCAGCTATTGTTTCTAAAGTGGGAAATGACTCAAGGATAAAACCAGATCCAACAAAATTTGTTCATGTTTGTGAAGAAAATTCCAAAAGATAGCACTGTGGTCAAGAACTGGTCAACAACAGATAAAGGTAAATAGTTATAAATGCCCCATTCAGAGAATCTGTTTCTGAGATAGAGAATTATACCGACTTGACCCAAAGCGGTTGTCTTTTGCAGCTATCTTTGCAGGTTTATCTCTTAAAGTAATTCCACAAGAGTAGGTCAGGACCTGTCAAAGCTCTTCTGCTTCTCTTTTCCTTTTCTTTTGATCCAAGTCCAGCTGAGACATCTCTCTTTCTCTCTCCGGAAGTGATAGAGGAAGGAGGGGGTGGAAGCTGCTAGCTTAACTGCTGCAGAGACAGGCTCCATGGTGTTGAAATGCTGTCTGAACTAGTGCAGAGCTCCACTCTGGAAACACCAAGTGTAACGACTAAATAAAGAGAAGTTGCAGGCTTCTGGCTGTCCACCCACACACATCGGTACAGGGTGCACCAGTGGCGGTCATAGGAACAGTTTAGAGAGATAAGATGCCCAATGTCCCCACAGCCTGGCTGTTATCATATCAGTGTAAACAGCTCCAGGGACAAGTTGAACTGATTCTTTTTGAGTGAATTAAATGAGCTCAGGCATTATTCAAATGGGAAAAAAAAAATCACTGTCCAAAATAAAATATATGGTATACAGTATATCAGCTTCTGACTTAACACAAACTAAGCTTTAGTCTGGCCTCTTTTTTGTCTGTCGCCCTCACTGTTTCATCAGGGACAATCCTGCACATTTCCTGTTATGCTTAAATAGTATACAACTACAAAATCATAACACAAGCCATGTCAGGTCCCTGCTGCTCAGAATGTTCATTTGTAAAACAAACTGTTGGTGGGAAAGTAGGGTATTTTAACAGTGGTGTGATGGTGGTGGTAAGTATGGCGGGCAGTGTTTGGCAGTGGCGCAGCCCTGTGGGTTTGGAGGTCTCCTTTGTTTATGCTTAAGTCAGACACTGTGTTGGTCCCCAGGCCATGCCCCTAGACGACCCCTCCCGGCTGCCGCTCTCACTCCTGTCTACTGCTGTGGCTGATCCATAAAAAATAAGCAGCTGTAGGCCTGGAACTGTGCTCTGCATATTCTCACACACACTACTGTAAATGAGAGGGGAAGCTGCCCCATCCTGGCACTTCACACACTTACAGCCTGCCACACTTATTGTGTTACTCAACACTTAGTGAAGCCCGCCTCGTGCTTGCTATATATCTCCATTGGCTTGCTAATCAGTGTTGCTTTTTTGTATTCATAGCATGTCACAGCTGTTGTGGATAGCTAATGAGACAAAATTCAATTCCTACCTGTCTTTTAGTTTGGTTTTCATAAAAATCTGCATTGTTTTAGCAGGAAATAAGCAGAATTTTAAAGTCAAATTCATCAATATGTAGAGTACCTACTGCTTCGCTGTTATCACTCACTATTGGTAACAACCGCTACTACCTATTGAAATTAACCTGAGCACTAAGTTTGTAATTTTAATCCTTATTTATCTGCTGATATGAATTGAAGGAGACCAGTTATGGAGAGTAAAAGTGGGAGGCAGAACAAAATAACAGGACAATCAAATGTGAATGTGGTGCACCTAAAGATATGTCACCACATTGTTTTCAGTTAATTTATTATTTCATAATTGACAGTTGAATGTACATTTTATTTTGGGCGCCACATTTATATTATATGATGTTTTGTGCCTGCTGTCCTGGATTTGGTGGTTGGGGAACAGAAAAGGGTAAAGCGGAACCTTTGTGCGCTTGGTGTTGCACCCAGAATGGTTGGGGAGGGACCTTCTGTCCTCGCCCCCAGATGCAGTCTGGATGTGAATGCCAGCGCACCGTGAGAGTTCTGTTCTGATGTCACATTGTGTTTTCCAGGTCAGTAGAGGTGAAACTATCCATACAAAGCAGTATGATGTTAGTATCCAATAATTTGTTAGTATAGCGTACTGTTTGGTGTATATTTACATGCTCTTCGGTAATGGTTTAGTCGGTCAAGTCTCAAAGTAAAGCGGAGGTTTCCCGCGGGTAGGAAGTCTCGCGTGATTTAGCGGAAATATCGCGAGGACCTCCAAAGTCTGGTTTTATGGACCTTGTCCAGTTTTATTGTCACTAATATGCATTGTATATTGTTATTAGGACTTAGGTAAAGTAAGAATGTTTAAACCGAAGTCAATGTAAATGCATGAGAGATAGTTATATATTCAGTTTGAAGGAATGTAAATGTATTTTTGTTCAAAGATAACTAGTATTTTTAGTGTGCAGCCCATTATTTATTTGATAACTAATTACAGTTAAGTATGGAACAGTGGAGCAACTGTTTATTCACCACCAATGTGGTGCTGAGACATGTCACTCAGGTGTTTAGGTGATTATATTGAGAACTTGAGTTAAGAAAATATGGGATAAAAATGCACTTTATTCATGCTGTTATAATGTTTGAATGTTAATGTTTGAATAAACCCAGATGCAGTCTGGATGTGAATGCCAGCGCATCGTGAGAGTTCTGTTCTGATGTCACATTGTGTTTTCCAGGCTGCACTAATTCACTGCTACGCAGCCCCGGCACTTGGGGCCCGTAACATGAACTATTAAATATCAGATCTCTCTCGTCTAAATCTGTTACTGAATGATTTGATACGTCACATTGATCTATTGTGTCTTACTAAAACCTGGTTACAGCAGGAAGAACATGTGGCACAGCTCGCAGCTCCGCTCCCTAAAGCAGGCATCACGAAAACTGGAAAGGTGACACTCCACTAAGTCAGAAGAGTTTTTTCCTAGCCTGTAAAGATAGTTTAATAACATATAAAAAAGCCCTTCATAGTGCCAGAACCACATATTATTCATCCCTAATCGAGGAAAATAAGAATAACCCCAGATTTCTTTTCAGCACTGTAGCCAGGCTGACAAAGAGCCACAGTGCTGTTGAGCTTAACATTCCCTTAGATCTCAGCAGCAATGACTTCATGTCCTTCTTTACAAATAAACTGTTAGATAAAAAATTAATCAGATCCTTCCCACAACTCTCACAGATGTGCCATCAAGTACAATGGCTTTAGAAACATCAGTAAGAACTCATTTATATTTAGATTGCTTCTCTTCCATAGATCTCTCTGAGCTGACCTTAACAATTGCTTCATCTAAATTAGCAACATGTCTCTTAGACCCCATACCGACCAGGCTGCTCAAAGATGTTTTACTCCTAATTAACACATATTAGATCTGATCAACCTTTCTCTATTAACAGGTTATGTTCCACAGGATTTCTGGGATACATTTCTGCAGGTAGAGCTCTATATTTCTGATAGGCAGTCACTGGCCACATCAACCTGCCCAGTGTTTGTTTGTTGTTGTGTCTTGTTGCTTTTCCTTTCTCTCTGTCAGAGGTTTCTTCAGTTAAAGGGAGTTTTTCCTCCCCACTGTGCTTGTTCAAAGGGATCTGTTGGATGTTCCTCTACAATAATAATCATCATCATAAGGTCTAGGCCTTACTATGCAAAGTGCCCTGAGATGGTTTTTGCTGTGATTTGGTGCTATACAATTGAATTGAAATAGACTGGATTGTGAATAAGAGTCATTATTGTTGCCTTCTCTGATCAAACTAATGGCTGCCATTGCTGTATCAATATGACGTTTGCATCACTTTGACAAATAGTATCTCCTATATTTAGTTTGCATACATTTATGGGATGTTTACAGTACTATTAAATGTATGAAGTCCACAGTTGGCAGCACGGTGGCGCAGTGGTTAGCACCGTTGCCTCACAGCGAGAAGGTTCCGGGTTTGGACCCCACCCGGGACCTTTGTGTGCGGAGTTTGCATGTTCTCCCCGTGCTTGCGTGGGTTCTCTCTGGGTACTCCGGATTCCTCCCACAGTCCAAAGACATGCAGCTTAGGTTGACTGGCGTTTCTAAATTGCCCATAGGAGTGCGTGTGTGTGGTTGTTCATCTATGTGTTAGCCCTGCGATGGACAGGGCTAACCCTGCGATGGATTGGCAACCTGTCCAGGGTGTACCCTGCCTTCGCCTAATTGCCGGCCGGGATTGGCTCCAGCTAAGCGGTAGAAAATGAATGAATGAATGAATGAATGAAAGTCCACAGTTGAAGAGAAAGACTGGCTGAAAAAATGTGGTATGTTGTGTGAATATGAAATCCAAAGCAAACTTGAACATCATTAAAATATCGCTCCTTGTTATTTCATGAATCAAATGCCTTCGGATGCTTCAGTAATTGCTGCACATAACAAAATGTGTCTGGTCCTTGGCTCTCCATTTATACAACTCATATTTTAAATGCTTTCCTGGTAAATGACAAGGATATTTTCAATATTTTTAACAGTAAGCCTGTTTCTCTGTAGGTCCGCCCCTGTGAATCGACCTGACAGTGCAGACATACTCTGTCATGCCAGATGTCTTGCTGTTGGCCCACACAGCCTCAACTGGGGCCCAGGGGAGAGGCCAGACATGGCCCTGTTATGGTAAGAAGAAAGACGCTTCTGAGGCTTTCAATCCCTTCTTCCTTTCATGAACATCTTTCTAGTTAAAATGTGGGGAGAGCTGAAGTGTGATGTTCTTTGAAAGAAATACATCCTGCAAACCAGCTGACATTTTTCTCAGACTAGTTGTTTGGTTATCACTATTATGCAATGGAAAATAATTTATTAGTGGAAAAAAAAAACACTTTTCCTGTATTTGTGAATCCAAAATTATTTCTCCCTCCAGTTAAACTTCAGAATGTGAATATCGCAACACAACATCTGGAGCTTAATCAGCTGGGAAATATACTGTATGATTTACATGTGTGAGTTCTTGCATCTGTTTGTGTGTGCATACACACTAGAAGCCTATGAGCGTGTGTACACTAAAGGAAGCAGGGCCTCCAGGAATGTGATACACCATCCCACTCAGGAAGACAGCTCGAGTCACACACAAGATAACACCCCAGTGGAGTCTAACCCTGAATGTTTGGTTAAAGCTACATGCATTATGCATTCCCTCTCACTGTAAAAGTACATGTGTCAAAAGGCTCTCATCATCATCACCCCACCCCCCCCGACAGGTCCACTTCCATGGTGGGTCCCTCAAGGAGACCTGAGCTCAGTACTAGAGGGGAAATCAGTGGTGACACTAATGAGGCCCTAGAAACATGCTGTGAGATCCAGTGAAATTCTCTTTATTCATAATATTCGGAGGGGGTTATTTCTGATTGATTTCATCTGTCAAGCTATCTACTCAAGTCATTTTCAGATGACATGTACTTAAAACATACAGTGTATTGTCAAGAAAAGAATCATCCTTTCATCTACTGGTATTTCTCATAAGGCCCAATGAGACAGATCTGCTCACTTCCTCCTGGGGTCAGATGATAAATTATCTTCTTGTGTCTCATTTTGTCTTAGTAATGGCAAACCCTCATAGCTCACCCTCACAAGATTTTGTCCACTTTGGTGTTTTGTGATGCACAAATGTTGCCACTGGTCTTCCCTCATGTACAGATTTCAATGGGAATCCAGTAGAGCTGTAGTCGGGAATGCCTCTTTTGGCAGGCCATCACCTTTAACCTGCAAATAGCAGGAAGAGGAGGAAGAAGCTGAGGTTTGACCCTCAGGGGGCCATTCCCAGACAGGGAATCGAGCACTGAAGGAACATGTGTGATTTTGATATCCGCTGTGCTGCCGAACAGGAAACAGAGGTGAGTGGTATGGCAAATCATCTGTTGGAAATCTGGGATATTGGGATCATAAATGGTGGCCCTGTATTTTATAGAAAACCTTGAACAAACAGTTTAAAACATCTGGGGAGAAAAAGAACATTTGACTATGAATTTTGCTAGAGAAGACAAATATTTTCAGTAGAAAACCATAAAAATTATTGGACTATTATCTCTACTATGACATCAGGTGTGATCCCTGCACATACTGAATTAAACTATGAAAATAAATCATTTCATTCTCGCAACTAAGAGAACCACTGAGGTTTTGAGCATTTAGAATATAAATGATCTAAGACTGAGTTTGGCCACCCAATATACCGCACAAATTTAAAATCAAAACATCAAAATGATCAGCACAGCTACTGCAAAAACTCAAATCAGGTTTGTTTCAGCATGAAAAAAAATGATGGATGAGTGGCGAATCCTTTGAATATTCAGACTTTATATGCTAGCTGCAAAGCCATGTTTTGGTGCAAAGTTGCCTCTATTTCAGTAGCAGCTGGGGAGAATAGGGGGCTGTAGCAGACAGGGTGGCGCTGCATGTTCCAAGCAGCTTGGCTACGCAGGCCAAGGGGTTTTACACCTGAATGTGAGAGGGTCTAGGGACGTCAGAGCTTAATAAGCCAGAAGACCCCCTACAGTGTCTGTCCCAGCCTGAGCTGTGCCTGCCTCCAGAACGCCTGTCAAAACACAGATTTCTTTTGGTGTAGGAGCTCTAAGTGAGTCGTGGCTCTGACAGTGATAAATGGCCTCGTCCTTTGAATATAAAATTACACCCAGAAAAATTACAAACCAAGATAACCTTATTTGTCAGACAGCACGGACGATAAACACAAATTCAACATGTGATGAATTGGCACATAAATGATCTGTATTCTGTAAAACGTTTTCCTGGTGATACTGTAGGGAATAAAAGAGCAACAGGGTGGTTTTCTGGTGTACAAAAGTCTGTTCGCGCTCAGTTACTTCAGTTGTGTAACAAAAGCATACCTCTTGCCTTCAACAGAATCATGCCACAGTTATGTAATCTGATCTGCTGAGCTTATGGGCTGTGAACAGCAGCTTTATTGATTATTGTGAGGTGGTTGATGTTGTCACATTTAGCTAAGCTTATCCGTATTTGTTTTCAAGGGTTTCAGGTGTGTGCTCCAAAGCAAACAAAATGAGTGAGGGCCTTATGTTAAGGTTTGCTTGGGGTGGAGTCATGTTTGTTACACATGCAGATCTTGTCAGGATCAGGAGGATCATGTTGGGTTGATGGCAAGGCAGAGGTGGTCAGGAAAACTCGATCCCTTTCCTTAGGGAGAAGCAGTATGGCTTCCTGTTTAGCGGGACAAAGCCACGGTGTGCTTCAAGACACTGTATCACGTCTACCATCCCACATCGAGCCACATCACCTCCCGCTCTACCCCATCCATCCCCACCTCCACTTGCGCTTTGATTTTCAGCCAAAGCAAACAGCAAACTGCTGTCAGTTTCAGTCCCCGTTCCCATGGCGACAGAGCACAAGGGTACAGCATTGGCCTTGATGATTTGGATCTGCAGGGACAGACAAAGAGGCCAATTCACAGCCAGCCGAGAGACTTGGATGCAGGCAAAGCTTTCTGCTGGACACTAGGCCTGAACACACACATGCAAAAATAGGCAGCGTGCAAGACTTATCGCATCCAATCAACCGAGTGATATTAACGGGTCCTGTCACTTGGAGGAGACTCTGAACAAAGCACACTTGTCAGGGATGGATGGGATCATTAATGCGGGTGTAATGGGGAAGCACACAACGTCAGCAAGTGTAATTAACTTTGTGCACTGTTGATAGAGTCATGCTGTGTCTGGTGTAAAAATTCAGCAGATGTGTCATGGAGAGTACTTATGCAGTTGGTAAAATTTCACTTGTAACCAAATCATCTCAAGGCAGAGGTCCAGGTACTATTTCACATAGATTGATCTTTACACATTGGCATTCAAGTCATTTTGTGTTGATTAGATTCAAAAGTTTAAAAGAAAACAATAAAATATGACAGTAAGTGTAAGATTTATGCTTTGGTGAATGGATATACGGCAGCATCACCCTGCAGTGACTGGTTATTACATGAAGTGCGACATCTGAAACAATTCAGTCAAAGTGAGTGTGAAGTATAACCTGCTATGATCACAGGATTTTAGCATTACTTTAGCAGACAGCTGCTGTAATGCTCTTGCAACAGTTAATCCACAATTAATTAGTATGAACGTGAAGCAGACATTAACAAACAGGAAAGATATTAAATGTGAATTCCAGACTTTTTTATTTCTATTTTTTAAGTTTAATAAACCGCTGATTTAATTGTTATATTATATATTTCTTTATTTGTTTTTAATAAACAGCTCATGTCTTCACAATGTTAAATGAGATCAAGCTTTCTGAAATGTACCATAACTGGACCGTGTAAGCAGCTATCACATACATCTGATCACTTTTAAAGCTATTAATGCAAAAAAAATGTTCTAATGTAGAATTGCTAGTTTTTTTGTAACATAACTTTGCACATTGACTTCTCTGTGTCTCTTGTATGTCTCGGTATTTTTAATAGTAGCATGATGAGATTTAAGGTCTAATTGAGATGACAAGGTTATAAAAAAAATAAAGAGTGCAATTGATTTGATTAGCCCCGGTTTAGCTAGAAAAATCTTGAGAGGATGGTTGTGCATATCAACCAGAGTGGTTTTGTTGCCTTAAGGCAGTATTTATTTCTTTTTTTTAATTAAGGAAAATGACTCCCATCTGTTAAAAGGTTATTGTTGTGCTTGTTATAAAAGGCTTCAGCAGAACAGTTGATTAATTTAGTATGTTTTCAGTGCTGCACTTGAGCTGGAGCTGACCAACCAATTATCATAATCCAGGGCTGTTTATTTTTTCTCCACTGCCAATCATGACACATTGGCTGAGTTGGTGGTTTAACGCTACAAGGCCTGGTGACAGGAGATGCTCAGTAGCCAGCAAAACGAAGGGAGGGGGCAGGACAAGGACCGTTCATTCCATCAATCAAATAAAAGGCTGTAATGTGTGAAAGTTGATCTGTCTGGGTTGGCTGAGCTAGATGTACATTACTGGCAGGGCACATTCAAATCACATTTGTGAAAAGTGTAATGAAAAGTACAACACTGAACATGGGACTCAATCTCCCATTGTCCACGTGAAAGTCAGGTGGTTGCTGGACCGATCAATCCACCCCTTCCACCACCTTCCCACTGTTTTTAAGTGGTTGCTGGACCGATCAATCCACCCCACCCACCACCTTCCCACTGTTCTATAGTTCAAAACTGTTTGCTTTCAGCGGACACTAATGTTAGCTTCCCGATCCACACACCGGTCCACTTGGTGGCAGTAATGCACCAGTATGCCAACCACCATAATACACCAAGAACAAGAAGACAACCAAGGTCACTGGGTTGCAATTCAGTAAAATGTTGGCATGTCACAATTGTATAGTCGTTATTGTGACACCGCTACATTTTACGCTGTGGAACAACGTAGCTGTAGCATATTTTCATGTGAGACTGTCAGTCCTTTATAGCTGCATCACGGATCCATATATTTTATCCATTTTGTTATTGAAGAGGAAAATTAAAGCAGCATCAACCCTTACCTCTGGAAAACAGTGGAAATGTTCAAAGCTAAAATAGCAACATCTAGAATTGACCAAAAAGTCAGGATTCAGTGAGGCTTTTTATTTTAAATGTCTTTTTGTAAGCCACCAGCACATTTAATGGCTCCCTTTCCAAACAAATGGCCTCAGTCACATTTGATGACCAGTGTTGTTGCAGCATGTCGACAGACGTCCAGGATAAATCAAACACTGACCACAATTGTTTTATTTTCCTAGAAAATTAAGTATTTACAGTATTCCTTCTATTTCAATTTTTTGGCTGGAGAGAGTAAATGTCAGACTTAATAAGAGGTTATCGGAAAGGAAAAAGTAATTAAACTCTTTCTCCTCAGAATAAGTCCTTTTACAGTGTATGCTGGTGAATATTACTCCCTTTCCTCTGTCTAGACACACAGGGTAGGACCATGGCTCACATGCTAAACAAAAGGGCCATACAGGTTTTTAGAAAACTCTAAAGACCAATCCAACATTTTTAAACTTCCCTGACTGGACTTAAAAGTGACAGAAACCTGGGGAACCACAATGTTTTCTACTAGTTAGTTAGAACAGAGTGATTACAAAAGTAAAGCATTTTAAAGTGGTAAGTGCAACAAAGTGCTACAATTTGAAGTATGTAGCTCCAACAGCCCAATCACACTGGTAGTTTTGTCATTTCTGGCTACTGTGGAAGTAGCCAGTATGGGTTTAACAGTGGCCAGTGAGGAGATTTAATTTCCTTTCCCCTGCTGCGGGTTTGATAATGACCATTTCCAGAAACCTGCTCCCACAGACCTTTGCTTCCACCTGTTATGGTCACGGTCTGCCTCCTGTCACTCACCTCATAACAATGACAACACCACTCAACTGGGCATTAATTGCTACATTCACTGCTCAGTGTTCTGGCTACTAACTCAGAATGGCTGGCAACAAGCACACCTTAGCTTTAAACCAGAGGTACAAGTGGTATCTCTGTGCTGAAGTTTACAACAGCAGTGATTTTTTTTTTTCCTCCACATAGTCACACCTATTTTCTAAATGCCTCTTTTCCACTGAAGGTGGAAAAAACAGGTTTGCTCAGTAAAACAGCTTGTAAAATTTTTTTCTCAAGAGAAAACACAATATATATTTGTTTTCTTTTGCTTGGGAAAATTGTTTGGGGGGGGGAATTGGAGCAAAGTATGAATACAGCTATTGTGGCACTAGCACAAGAGCTTGTAAAGGCTGAAAATGTTTAGCGTACTTGTACTGCAACTCATAGAAACTCTGTTTAACAAACATTCTATGAGAAGCTTATATCTATTTCACATTGCTTAAATTATAATGATATATTACATTAGTTAAGCAAATCAT